TAAGAGCAATAAAACTCCATGCTTATAGGAAAGGGAAATGGTAAAATTATCCTAGTAAAACAAATAGAATAAAAGTGTCAATCAATAGAGGTTGCTTTATAGGCAGAGAAGGAGCTAGAGTCTTCTGATTGGGTGAAACAGGGTTGTAATTTTCTACAGTGATCAAATGCAAAACGGTGATGTTAAATTGACAATTTTATCTGCCCTTTGTTCCTCACTGGAGAAGTCTTCTGTAGCTAGCTGAACTATCTCTACAACTTCCACGTGTGTGTGTGTGTGTGTGTGTGTGTGTGTGTGTCTGTGTGTGTGTGAGTGTGTGTGTCCATGCATTTATCTACTGGGATTTATCTTTCCTCTTTTTTTAATAACTGACTTTTTAATTTAGCATCTTTTTAATTTAGCATGTCCAAACAGAAGCCCCTTCCAAAGTGTGTGTCCCTATTCTGGGACCATCATCTGGGACCCTTTGTTTTCTTAGCCTACTTGCTTCCCCAGGTCACAACACTGCATTGGGTCACAAAGGGAGAGCAGTTCTGGGACCCTGCTGCTTTCCTAGTGTGACATTCTCCTTCCTGAATGTTCAGTCTAAACTTCTATTCAATAGGATATCTGGGCCAAAGACTCTCTCTTCTAGTTCTTCACTCCCATCCTTTCTCTTCTTCCACATTCAACCAGTTTGTGTTTCCTGTGGCTTTCTTATGCTCAAGATTTGGATAATCTTCATCATTATAGAGGTTTGGGTGGAGTGGCTGATTTTGGCTTTGAGTAGCTGTTGGAGCCACACAAACTTTTTCTTCTAGGTTTTCTACAGCTCTGCTGTTAGACAGGTTCTCAACAAACCCAAGGGTACCTCTGAGGAAGTTTCCTGCTTGCCCAGGCATGTAGCATTCAATTACACTCATGCTCATATAAGTCCTTCGGCTTTGTGGATAACCAACACCATGATACTATTTCTTTAAATAAAGTAGAGCCAATGAGTCTGTATTTGCTGTTTACAGTAACTACCAGATACAAGACCAAACAGCAATTGTATTTTCAAGTTTTACCTTTCGTATTCAGTAGGTATTCCTGAAACCAGTTGAAACAACAAGTGACCTTGCAGAATCTGATTTTCCAACCACACCTGGTACAATCACAGGAACTACTGCCAGAAGTCATAAAATACTAGCACACAAACCATCTTCCCCAGCAGTCGGGATTAGAATAATAGCATATTTGGGTTTGTTGTGTTTTTTTTTAAAGACCTCAAAACCTTTCACATGGATGGTCTCATTTTATCCATGAAGATGATTTGGGCCCCTCAGAAATGTAGGCAATCTTAACTAGTCTTACATGTGGCACTGCAGTCTTCATGAAGTGTCTGTTCAATGCATTAAAGCAGCTTTCACTGAGGAATCATAAATGAAGTCACCGCAGCACATTTTAAGCAGCGTATGCTTTTAGGACTGGGGCATTGCCTAGTCACCATCACAGAGATGGATACAGTCATTCTGCTGGTGCTGCCGGGTATGAGTCGCTCTAATCAAATACTTTGTTTAAATGCAGCTGTCCTCCTATCTCGCCCTGAGCAACAGGAACCAACTTCCAATGATCCCACTCACTCTTGGTCGTGACGAGGTCTGGCTTGTAAACCCAGACTGTTAAGTAAAGTGGCTGCTGGGAGCCTGGCTGGGTTTTGCCAGGATTAGTTTTCATCAGGTTATCTGCTAAATATACCAGTGGCTATTCTGCCTCATTTTCCTTGGGTGAGAAGCTGGTGTTTCTATAAATAAATAAATACATAAAGAGCCAGGAGGATTAAGCACGCTGTCACAGGCGGCAGGAGAAAGCTTTCTGTGTGTCTAGTCCCTTAAGAGCCCCTCTTCACTTCACCCCAGGAATGCTGTCAAACAGAACGTGGCTCAATACTGGCATCCTGTGGCCAGAGGAATTCATCAAATCTCTGAACCTCTCCCATCCATGGCCTCAGCACATCCCGTGGCTGTCTGGGCGGAGCAGCCTTACAGCGTTTTCTAAGAGCTGTCCAGTTGCTTCATGTTTTTTATGGAAGAACCCTCAGTGAGATGTGTTCTGATCTACTGACATTTCACAGGGCCAATGGGTTTGTGTGTATTGGAGTAAAAAGAAATGATAATACAGAGGCTAAAGAATGTTAGCCACCAAGGCACTCAAATCGGTAATCACTGAACTAACTGCCCCAAGCAGAGGCTCTCTGGCCTCCAAGTTCACACAGTTTGTTTCTGACGAGGAGGTGGCAGGGGGAGAGGTGATGTTTTGGATCAGGACTCCGCTGTTTTGTGTGTCTGTGTGTGAGTGTGCTGTTTTGGCCAAAGGCTAGGAAAACACTGGCTATTGCAGTAATAAATACTATGAATTATTATTTTACTTTATTACAAGAATGCTGCCTAAGAGGAAAATCAACAAAATTGAGGAAAGACTTTCAAGGCAGCTGTAAAGATAAAGGGTGGCAATGATTGCGGTTTAAAAGGCAGAATTGTCATGTTCTTTGGTGAGGCTTAATGGCATTTTTGGGAACCAAATAATCATTAGGGGGCTACTACATTGCTGCTGCTTTCACAAATGCCTAACACTAAATCTGGAGTTCTTGGAGATGATCAAAACATCATTAGAGATAGAAAAACAATCCCAAACTTTAAAATTACATGAGCAGGAAAACACATCAAAGAAAGATGAAGCATGGAACATAGCAATAGGCATGCACTCACAAAAGTGTGGTATAAAGTATGCACATGTTAGCAAAATGGAAGAAGTATTATAGTAGGCTGGCTACAAACAGGAGAAACAAAATGCCTACTACATGGGAGCAAGCAAGCAAGGAATTTGCTCCTTCACAGTGCTCCCTTCTCAATGTGGCCCAACCCTAGGGCTGCCAGCTCTGTTATCCTGTATTCTCTTGGTTTTAACTGTGCTCAAGGGTTTTAACTGTCTCTAGCCAGGATCTGAGATCTCATGGTGATGAGCATTAATCTGTCCTGAACAATCCTAATAGTAAATACTGTTTACCAAGTCTTTTGTTTTTATTTTTCAGAATCATATTGCCTACAAGTGGAAAATCATAACTAAAACCATTCTACAGAAAATGAATCTGATCTAACAAGAAATAGAGATTAAATACCCTGCTAGGCGATCAGTGTGCCTGTGTTGGCCTTAAAAAAAAACTAATTTTATAGTAACATTTCTTGGGGGAATAGTATTGCCGGCTAGAAAACACAAATTTCAGTATAAGTGGTATATAAAAGGTCTAAAGATACCAAATACCAATTAAAAACTAATAAAGAGGAATAGTAGCAAAACTCTATTTTCAATGACTGCCTTCTGAAGGAGTTCATGTAGCACACTAGAGATTCATATTCCAAATTGTTACTTTATTTTTAGTAGCATTGACATTATTTATAAACAATTTTACTAGAAATCTCTCTGAACTTTTAGCTGAACTTTAAAAAATTAGTTATGGTAAAATAAGTAAATTAAAACAAATGAGAACAAAACTTGTTTTCTAGCCCTGACTGGTTTGGCTCAGTGGATAGGGTCCCAAGTTTGATTTTGGTCAAGGGCATGTACCTTGATTGCAGGCACATCCCCAATAGGGGGTGTGCAGGAGGCAGCTGATCGATGTTTCTCTCTCATTGATGATTCTGACTCTATCCCTCTCCCTTCCTCTCTGTAAAAAAATCAATAAAATATATATTAAACAAACAAACAAACAAAAACAACAAAAAAAAACTTGTTTTCTAAACTCACCAAACTCACCAGCAAGAACCTATCTGCTTCTCAGGTTGTGTTTTTGACCCCTCTCTCTCATCCCCACAGCACCCATCCAGCAGATGTGAATTCAAATCCTAGATCAATGGTTTAAATTCTGTACACTCAAAAATAAAATCCCCCTCTCTGAGTCTCGAGTTCCCCATCCGACTGTAGGAGTAACACCACCTCACAGAGATCTTGTGGAGGATTAAAAGAGATGATGACATGGGAGAAAGGGCTCCCTCAGCAGAGCCTGGGACAGAGGGGCTGGGCTTTCCACTGAGACTGTTCCTTCCTAAGCTCCCTCCCTACTACTGATCTTCTCCTCCAACTTACCTGGTCACCAAGCTCTGTGGGCGTTTCCTCTTTAATATCGTTCCTTTCTCTTGGACCCTACTGACACCCTGAGTTCAGATCTTCCTCCATCCTCGTCAGAATTCTGCGTTAACTAACCTCTATTCTCTGTCTTCAGCCTCGACTCCCTCTGACCCAGCCTTCCTGCCTCCAAGATGATTTTTCTAAAGTATAAAACTGCCTGAGTTTGAGTTCCAGCTCTTCTACCTAATATGTATATGCTGTGTAAGAAGTGGTGTGAGTTCTCCCACGCTATCACTCAAAGTCTATAAAATAGGAATAATAATTTTCCTGCCTCAGAAGATTTTTAAAGAATAAATAAGGTCATGTATGTGCTAATCCATAGAATCACACAGTAAATGAGAGCTGTTATTCTTCTCTTCCTTGTTCTCGCTGGCCTTGTGACCCATGTGTGACTTACCAGGCCTATTAAATAGGGTGGAGTAGTAATCATGATGTTTAAGATCTTTGTAGGTCTCTGCCTAACTCCCTACCAAGTCTCATATCACTCATCAAGGAGTCTGTTATGATATAGAATCACTAACTTGCACTCTACCCAGAATAAAAAGAATCAGGTTAGGAAAGAATTCAGAAGAGCAATGCGATTATTTTCAGGAATGCTGTTAAAATTCTTCCTATGAAAGTTGTTGTCCTAAGAAGTGACTAAGCATCCCAACTGAATACTGCTCTGAAAGCAGTCAGCAGCTACATCCTAAATATCCTTCCATTTTTCTTTCTTCCGGTTCTAATTTAAATTCAATGATGCATTTGAACTAGCAGCTGTCCCACTTATAAATTTGAACTTTAAGAAATGTGTGTCATGGGTGTCCACATAGATGAGTTTTCTACAACACGGTCTGTAAAAAGGTTCAGAGACTTACCTGACAGTCTTCTGAACCACTTGGGCTTCTTGTCCCAGATAATAAAGAGATAGTATGCGGGGACTCCAGTCATTGTGAGGATGAAGCCAATCCCCGTACTAAAGGGGTCTGAATAAAGGGAGAGGGCGACCATGAAGAAGCACGTGAAGGAAAACAAAGCCGGGATAAACAGCGGCACCTGGAACACAGCACAGAAAAAAAAAATCACTTCTAACACAGTGCAAGGGATGGACAGTGGTTCAAGGTGAGCCCAACAGTCATGACATTGGGTGACATGCATGACCAGGTGATAGGAACCTTCCTACTTTACCTTAGTAGCAAAGTATCTTTATTTTTTTTTAACGTATATTTTTATTGATTTCAGAGAGGAAGGGAGAAGGAGAGTTAGATAGAAACATCAATGATGAGAGAGAATCATTGATTGGTTGCCTCCTGCATGGCTCTACTGGGGATTGAGCACGCCACCAAGCATGGGCTCTGACTAGGAACAGAACCATGACCTCCTGGTTCATAGGTCAATGCTCAACAACTGAGCCATGCTAGCCAGGCAGTAGTGAAGTCTCTTTAAAGGACACTGAAAATATATTAAATACTAAAGGCCCGATGCACGAAATTCTTACAAGGGGCTCGGTCCTTGCAGCCCTGGCTTAGTCCGGAAGGTCGTCTGGAAGGACATCTGGAAGGTCGTTTGGTTGTCCAGTATAATTAGCCTATTACACTTTTATTATTATAGATATTCCATTAATTAAAAAAATGTTTTGGATAAAAAAATAACTCTAAGGATAAAAAAGTGTGTTTCACTATAGAAGTCTTTATTTATTTTACTAGGTAAGTACTACTATAATTTCTGTTTTGGGTATTAAAAGATGAGCTCTTTGATAATTATGATTAGAGTCCACTTTAATGTGGAGCTAAGACCATGGGCTGCTAGTGACATCTTAAATCCTTTCAGGGAAAATTGATTTTCTGTTGGAGATTCACAGTAAGAGAGGACAGAAACAAAACAGGCCAGCTCCTATTGGGCCGCTAATGAAGATGTTGCCTGGATTAGGCAATGAATATAATTAGAAACAAATTCTGACAACGTAACTGACAACCTGGTCTGTTATTTCTTCAAAGCAAATGAACAGTGAGGCCAAATCAATGAGCATTGGAGGCTGAAGGAGACGGGCGAGAAGGGTATTCTTCAACCCTCCCCAAAGGAATGCTTAGTTATGGTAACTGTGCTTTCCGATTAAGTGGTAAGTTCATACACCTTTGCTTTCCCTCTATATCTTATATTTTTATTCCTTCTGGGGTGTATAATGTAGAAAAAGAGCAATGTAATACGTCATAACCTTTAAAAATACTGAGAATGCCTATTTTGTACAGCAGCATCCACTTTAGAGTTTAAAAAGTGACACCATTCCATGCGTATCGACATCACTCTTTCTCAGTCTGGCTGTCCACAAATGTTCAGCGTAAAGATAAATCAGAGTATCCCACGCTTTGCATGTATCAGGTCATTGGACACGTCATGAAAAATCAGCATAACAAGCATCCTCTATTAACACCACCTCTTCTTAAAGAGCTCAGTACAGCACATAAAACAATGTGATGAACTATTTCTCAGGGAAAATCAGTCCAATCTGAAGGCACTACTGGCAAGAGTTAAACACCTGATGGCGGAGGACTGCCTCCCCCCTCTCCCCACGCCCACCCACGCTTCCCATCATCAAGCTACGACAGAGGGAGGACTAGGTATTAGGAGAAAGATTTATGTAAACCCATCAAGATTGCTGAGGTTACCTTGAAAGGACGATGCATATCTGGGCGTTTGTATCGAAGATAAATCAGCCCAGCAACTGCGAGCCCAATAAAAAGCCACCTGGCAAAACTGAGGAAATTCAAAAGACTGTAGAGGTCTCCAGAGAACAGCATCACCATCGTCAGAGGATACTGGGGGGAGGAGGACAAAAACCACTCGGTGAGTTAAAGGGAACACAGGTGATCTCAAAGCATCACATACCTAGACATCATTATTAGCCCTTCCAAATGATTACTTATACTGATAAACTACCAAGTTGATTAGAACCTAATCTCCCTTCTATAGTCTGCTCTTAAAACTCCTTTCTATACCAGTAACAGAATGAGAGGGTCATCATCACTACCAGTTACTAAGAAGGGATTGTATACGATGTTTGGTGTTTAGTTGCTTTTACATTGGACAGAAGAGAGTATGTTTTCAAAGTTACAGTCAGAGACTGGAAATGTAAGGACCCACGGATGACTAATAAATAATGAATAATGGGCATCACAAGTGTCCCCTCTTGGAAAGTCTGCAGAAAGCTCTGCAGTGGGGTCTGCGTCGCTCATGGCCACGCAAACACGAAACACGGGCCACTCCTCAGGGCCTCCGCCAGGCCCTGAATACAAAATGTTGACCTCTCCTTCCTCCACACTCCCTCTCCCTGTGTGCTTGCCACGGGTGACCCTCAGGACCGCACAAAGGAAGGCGGCTCAGAGACCAGCACAACGAGCCCTTTCCGTGGCGCGCCAAGGACAGCATGACTGATAGCAGAGGCTTAAAACGAAGCCCTCTTCACGGAATAATACATTCCGTTTCCACAAGTGACCGCTGCCTTCCGCATTCCTCACAAAGGGACCTGTGTACTTTACAAAGAAATTTCAAGGAAACATTTTGAAATAAATTAAATGCATGGAGGAGAAAAAAAAAATGTTCCATGAATTCTGGCAGCAGATTGCATTTGAGAAAAATGCTACAAAATGGTAAGCATAAAGGGACCATAACATTGCCAGTGGGTGTTTGAGGACTGTGACACCTTACACAATCTTTTGTATCCCATGTTTCACGGGTACCGTTCTGGGCGTAAAGAATCCTACGACTGAAATTTAAGTTTTGGTGCTTTTATTTCTTCCCTGTAGGGTGGCTCTCAAGTGTCTCACTTTTAATCCCAGAATTACTGCCCTGTCTAGAATTTCATCGTTGCATTTTCTATTATTTTGTGTGCATTTCATTATAAGGAGCCTGTGCAACATCTGGGTCATTTAGGACTGTAGTTTTTGGCTCCACTCTCTGTACTTAGAATTGGGATTTATTCCTCTGCATCTTTTTCTACCAGGTCCTTTGTCAATGGTAGGAGCCAAACTAATTTCCCTTACACCTCACTACTTTCTACAAAGGTGGAAAAAAAAAAAAAAGTGATGTGGCCATTGCCCCGTAGCATCAAAATACTGGGTCAAGAGAAGCAGCGGAAAACATCCTGCCTTCCACAGGCTGCCAGGATATACATAGAGCCCTTTTCTCAATGAATGAGAGGGGAAAGCACGCTGCTGTCTGGTGTGAAATCCTCTTTGCTAACCTGTTATTAGAGGTTATATCGAGAGATGCTTGTTAATGTGCATTACCAAAACAATCACAGCTGGCAGAGGAGTGTGCTTGCGGACATGAATCATGGACAGGATTTCTGGAAGGTGACCCTCTCGAGACGCCACATAGAATAACCTGATGGGAGAAAAACAGGGGGCGGAGTTGACTATACCATTGATCGTTGCAGAGGGGAAATATCCCAGAACCCTGAGAGAAAACTTGCATCTTTTTCACCCCAAGTGGTTTGGACATTTCTTAGATGATTTACTTAGATTTCACTTTTCAGATAAGGTGGAGACCATCATGAGAAGTCTGTCTTAGAATTTTATAAAATCTGACGACTATTGTATTCTTCTTTGAGAGGGAACAATAGCAACACACCTGATTCAGCGTGGCTCTCCCTACATACAAACAGCTGAAAATGAATTTAGTTCTAGGTTCCCAGTACTGTAGGTGTGCTATCTATCCAACCAAAACAAAACACACACACACACACACTCTCTGCATGCACATGTGCACACACACTGTGAATGTGAATAAAGGAAATCTCATTTAAAATAGAGTTGGGAGGGCTTGAAAAGGTGATCAACAGGAAGAAGCCTTCTTCACTACCCCCATAGGAAAAAAGACATTATCTCCTGGCCCAGCAATAACGCAGCTGGAGGGAAGCCACAGCAACCCTGAAATCCCACCCTCTTCCAATGGCCTTTCAATCAAAATTCCACTCCCAACTCCACTTCCCTTCCTCTGCAAAAGCAAGCCCCTCCCCTTTGTTCTCGGGACTCGCCTGTGGTTTTGCCACAGCTTGCTTGTTCTGAATTGCGATTCCTCTGCTCTTTCTGAATAATCTCACTTTTCTGGTAAACAACTGGTTATTTCATTTTTAAGGGTGACAACACATCTAACATTCATATTTATCTGATTGGGTTTTAATCTTATATTAAAACAAAAGGTACTTTTACATCCAAGAAAGCAATAGGGATAGAGATAGGGTGAAGTGGTGGTTTCTGGTGCCTCTTACATTACTTTTTTTCTTGTCACCTTTAGAGAAACAACAGATTTTATCACCAGAAATAAAATGCTGCTGTTGGACTCTGTAGACAGACCATTAAAAAAATGCCACAAGCCCAGCTACAGACTCGGCTATGTGTAGAGACGCAGTGCCCTCTACTGGTCAGAAGGAGACATGCTGTTGCTACTTGGACAAAGACTTCAATCCTGCAGGTCCCTTTAAAAACAACAGGTTAGGAGGCACTGTTTCTTTTTAAAGTAATCCTTATCACACATCCAATCTCAAAAGCAGAAATACATTTCTGAAAATGCTTGAACTCACTCACCTGGAGACGGCAAATACACCCCCATTCATGGAGCCAAAGCAGGTGAGGGCAACGAAGATGGGAACTGCTAATGAGAAATTTCCCAGGAGCCGCTCAGCAAAGGTCTAGTGAAAGAAAGAATATCAGAAACTAGTGCTTTGCCAGAAAGTGGCATAAAATGAAACAATGTATGCCAGACTCACTTTATGACTTTCTATTAGCCTAGTGATAATGTGTATGTTTTATAATCCTCTTTGGTCAGGGTCAGACTAACTCCGTAGACAATAATCAAAATTAGGTGCCATGGCATTGCTTGTTGCAAAAATGTGGGCTAAGGTCTAAACAAGCACCTATTCTTTACTTTCAAAGGGCAACAATCCATTTACCGAATCTTTATAAACTGGCCAAAATCTTCTATCATTCTGGTAAGTGGAAAAAGCTTCTTCAGAAAAATTTCTGCTTTAGGAGACAGAAATCCTTTTGCACAATACCTTCTCTTTGCCCAGAAAGCCACGTTTTGATAGTGAAGCACAAATGCATACTGAGAAGAATGATGGACACTAGTCTCATATACCAATCCCACTGTCATCATGTAAAAGCATGGCAAAAAAAATAATAATAAATAAATCAAATAACTGATGCCTTAGTCACTGGTATCCTATCTATGAGATGTTCTGAAAATCTTTTGCCCAGAATAATCACACCAGCTGAATCTGTGTTCATCAAATCAATTATCGGGTGATTCCTTCTGTTTCCTATGAAAAGGCTAGACTACAAATACAAGGCCAAGGAAATAAAGCCACAGGAAAGACAACAGATAAACAAAATTTCTGAAATTTCCTTTTATGCTATGACATAAAGGCTGTATTGAAAAAAAAAAGAAAGTGGGATTTTTTACTTGTCCTTGATGCAGCTGGTGCTGTGTAATTAATGGGCCACATTACATTCGAGGAATAAGTGCTGCCTTCTGTCCAATGAGATGAGATAAGTGGCCGGGCAGCAGTAAGCTTTGTGCATTTGGGTGTCTGCTAGAACTGCATTGGCTGAAGCCTTTTTTAAATATAGAGAACACATACCTAGGTGCATGTGAAATGAGGTCATTTGTTCCCATGGATGTTGCTGATATGAGGTAATATGACTATTTTTAAAGGAACTGACAGCTAATGATTGGAAATTATTCCCCCTCTTCCCTCTCCATTGTTATGAGGTCATGAATGAAGGTTCTCTTACTAGCTATGGTTTTATACAAAATAAAAATCGGTGTCACAGAATAACAGTCCCATAACATGACCTTTTGGAGCAAAGACAGTCCTGAAGTCTCATAAATTTTGGAAAATGTAAAATTATGAGTATCCACTTCTTAGGGAATTAAAAATGCACATTAGCATTTTATATTCTGAGAAGTGCTACAGAAATGATATCTGTGTAACTTTGAATAACTCATTATTCCCCCAAATTAATAATATCCCATGACTAGTATTCAAAAGGATATAAGAGAAAAAACAAATATATACAGTCAAGTTTGAAATTCTTAAAGTGGTACTTTGGGAAAAATGTTTGAAAATGTTTACAATTGGGAAAGAGTACAGAATAATTGCAATTTGCATTCCCAAAACTGCATTCTTTTAAATTCTGACTACTTGTCCTTAAAGACATGTTAGAAGGCTATGTATATGTGGAAATGTGTTTTCAAGCATGTATATATGTAGAAATGTCTTACATGATATTAACACTACAGAGAAATCATATAGGATTTTAGTTGTATCAGTTAAATGGAATATGCTAAGGTGTGTTCTAATTTTTTTAAGATGCTCATTATCATTCAGGTCAAGAAAAGATTACTGAATTTCAAAACCCTTTTCTGCTGGAAGGAACTAGTATAAAATTGCATCAACTCATTAACCTAAATTCAAATTGGCATTTCCCCAACTTGGACTTACCACTGCCACTGCATTTGAAAGCAAGAGCTCTTCAGCACTAATGGTCGTAAAGTAGGCCACATTCGTTAGCACATAGCCGATGGTGACGATGGCCATGGATATACCTATGGCGAGGGGGATGTTTCTGAAATGCACAAAGGAATCGCTTATTAGTTACCTTTCTTTCTTTCTTTCTTTTTCCTCTAAAATCAAGAACGATAGGCTAATTTCAACAAACAATTAAATGGTATGTATGATAATTATAGGCTCCGTTGGGTATGCATAAACATTTCACTGGAGTGAGGTACCACACATTCCTTTGTAATGTAATAAGGTCCATGGGGCAGATGCAGAGATTTCTGTAGTCTTGTCTCCTGCTCTACCCCATTCCTGTACTCCATGAATGCTAAGGCAGTGTTTCTTTAACTTGAGCATGCATCCCTGGAAGGCTTGTGAAAACACAGATTGCTCCGCTCCAGAATGTCTGATTCCGTAGGTTTTGCATTTCTCACAAATTCCTGGGTAGTTCTGATACTGCTGGCCAGGGGACCACACTTTGAGAACCATTGTCTGTTACACCTTTCAAACACTAATTGACTGCCTTTGCACCTTTCTGAGACTAGCTCCCTGAAATGGTCTTTCACATTCGTGGGATTTTCTCCTTCAGGAACTTCCTTTACCAGCAAATAATACTTCCAAAATATTTTTGTAAGACTGAGAGCAGGATATAGCTACCTTTCTAAATGATAGGAGTAATAATTTCTAATGGGACACAAAAAGCACAGAAGCGCTCACAATAATGACTTTGCATGGCCCTGCTGCAAGTTCAAAGGAAGCTTAAGATCATGAATGTCTATTAAAGCAACAGCGAAGATAATCCCATGAAATTAGAGGTGACGTGCTGGGAAGCACAGAGGGCCAGACCGTGCTGACATGACACAGCTTCGAGAAATACCCAGCGCAGATGCAAGGTTATGTCTTCATTTAATGCACTTGGAAAGCCAGGAAGTTACTGACCCCAATAATTTGATTCCATGTTACCGATACACATTACTTGCTTCACATAATCACCTCTTCAGACTCTTTCCCGTTCAAGCAACTTAAACCTTCAGCTCTCTGCATAAAGGCTGATGGGGTGTTCTGTTGTTTTTTTTTTGTTTTTGTTTTTTTTTTGGTGTGTGTGTGTGTGTGTGTGTGTGTGTGTGTGTGTGTGTTTTGGCCGTGGAGTTTATCAGCTCTCATGGAGCCTTAACCCTGCTTGTGTCACTAATGAAGACCTCAATATAAATAATGTTCTCCAAGATGAAAATACAGTTCAGAACCAGGGGAGTAAAAAGGGGGGATGGCGGGGGAGGCACAGCCTGTCTCACTCACCAAGCCAGGCGGCTTTTAGCACACTAAGTCCCAGCTCATTATGTTAAAGAGTGCTGTAGAGAACAGGCAAACCTAGCCAGTCCGCCTCTGCCATTCATTATGCTGCTTAGAGCCTGACACTCCCCTGATCCCCAACGTCTTAAGCCTTGATGGAGAAACACATTGACCTCTAAATCCTGGCATCCTGTTAGGAAAGGAGCAGATGCTTCCTTTCCCCAGTGTGGGGAGGGTCCTGTGGAATTTCCTCGGAACACCGTAACATGCACTGCCAGTCGTGATTGATAAATGCTCAGTTTAAGCAACGGAAATCAGCAGGCCAATTAGATACAAAAGAGTGAATGGCACCAGGCCAATTAAAGATGAGTTCTGTTTCTTTGAAGGAAAGGTTACATGGAAATGCAAAGGGAAATGAAGAGGAACATGGAGGTCTATAGACAACCTTTCAGTCACTCACTGTATTATTATAAACTTGAATCCTTTCAGCTTTCTAATGTGCCCAAGGGGGATGCTAAGTTCTTGCCATGGAGGAGAGAAACAGAGAGAAGGGAAGAGAGACTTTGTATTCCTTGCAAGAATAATATTAAGAAATGAAATGAAATTAAGAAATGGTCAAGCAATGAAAAGGTTCTGGTAATAAAAAGTGAAGTGACCTAACCTGCCCAGGACAGGGAGTCCTGTCTCATCACATGATGCTACAAACCAGTAAAGAGAAGTAAGTCTCACATTTGGGCTGTGGGCTCCCAGCATGGAAGCCAGAATGCCAGCTTCCCCCTCTGTTTCCTGCCTGGAGATCATGGTGCTTCTGATGAAAGTTTTCTCAATTGATCTTAACAGAAGGGATCCTAAAACAACCAGCCAACCAAATAAAACAAAACAAAACAAAAAACACCTAACCTTCCAGGTTAGTTTTCTTCCCCATCAGCTTGTCAACAACAAAAAACACCACCAGCAGCTGCTGCCATTTATGTGGTGTCTGCTATGTGCCTGACATTTTATTAGGCACATTACATGTTTGCCTCATTTTATCCTTGGAAAATCCTGCAGGTTGGAAACATCATCACCGTTTTATATATGAGGAAATGGAGTCTTAGAGAATTTAAATAACTGTTCAAGGATACACAGCTGGTAAGTGGAAATGCAGAGTTCAGCCGCAAGGTCTCGCCTACCTTGAAGTCAAAGCACTTTAACCACTAATGTGTACGCACCATCTCCTGTGTATGGGTCCTCAAACACTGACTATTGATTTTCAGGGAAATCATAATTGCTGAATATAATGTTTACTGGAGAGCTCTTTTCAAGGCTGTGTTTCTCATGCAGTCACTGGGAATGCAGCTACCATAAATGAGGGGAAAATACTTATTCCACAATTTCTACAGTTTTCTTATGTAACATGAACTATAAGGTATAGTTTCACTGTGTAGGTAGTAGGTTTTCTTTTTAAAATCAAAAAGACAACAGAGGCTAACTGAATTAATTTTGTAGACATGAAGGAAAAGTAGTAAGCATTCCTGTCAGGTAAAATTAACTAGATTAACAAGTTTACTATCAGCTAAATAGACTAGATAGATATCAGGGGGAGGAGGAATCAAAGGAGTCTAAAGTATATGATGAGAGCGATGGCATCACCTTGCTGCAATTCCTCACACACCTAGTAATTCCTCTCCAGGTAACATCAAGCCCCAGGAATTGGAAGGTTGTGGCAAAATAGCCACTCTCTTCTGCCCTGAAGTCCTATTTCACTTGGACAAAGGGAAGGAGGAGAGGGGATCATGGCCGCCTTGAGAGAAACAGCAATCAGTTGGGAGGAAATCAGTTGATTTGTTCAGAAGGGCTCGGCACCGGTGGTTAACTCCTGGGTTTCAAGCGTCAAAGCTTAAGAGCTGCTGGGTGAGCTGATAAAAGCTACTAGGCCATGCCAGAGCATCTTTTGAAAGGCTTTAGATGCAGAGGGCAGATAGGCATGGCTAGTAACCAAAGATTAAAGCAAATGGTACATGATAATAAAAGGAGTTGCAGGAACTGCTAGGCCACTGATGTTTCACAGTCTCTGTGTGACTCTGAGGCAGCCGCTAATGCCAAGGGCAACAAAACCATTGTCTTGACACAGAATAAAAATGACTCACACTTATGAGGTCTACTCTTTCTCAAATATTTGTGAGTGTCTGTTATGATTAACAAAATAGAAATGTATTAAGAATCATTTAATCACTAAGACCTTTTTGTCATCATATATAGTCTTTTTAAGTAACAGGCATTAAGTATGTGAGAATATGGTACTTTTCATATTAGTTGCAAATAGTCTTCAATCAAAAGGTCTTGAAATACCCTTCTAATAGTTTTATTTTGAATTGGTACCAATAACAAGTCTGTGTCAATAAATATCTATGGGTAAATACTTGTTTAATTTGAAATGATTACATGAAAGTCTGGAACAGCTGCCTTGAAGCACTTTCATTCTAAGAATCCAAATGGTCCCAGTAGTAATAGCTCATAGTTTATATTTGTATAATCCATAAAGCACTAGCAAATATATTTGATCTTCAAATCTACAAGTCATTTCTTTTTTTTTCTCTTTTTCTTTCTTTTTTTTCTGTGTGGAATGAGATAGAGTCTGAACAATTAATAAACAAAATTCACAACAAACCATCGAAATAGGAGGTAATACTCCTATTTTCAAACAAGCGAGCCAAGGCTAAGAGGGATTAAGTACATGGTCAAAGTAATAAAAACAGTCAATGGAAGGGCTGGAACTTAAACCTACCTCTTCTAGCTCGAAGTTCCACATCTATGATATATCTTATCATATCATGGCTGCATTGTACCTACTTTACTTTAACTCTATGTACAAGGTCCCTAGGACCCTTTCATGTTGACAAACAGATATTTTATATAAGTGACATAAATTGATATTGATTGTTACAATGTGACATATTTTAAGCCAAAAATATTTTTTCTACATAGCTAAGAGTCATCATAAATAAACATACAGCATGGGTTGCATTTTTCATATGCTTTACAACTATAATAGATCCAGAAATAACCATTGTTCCCAGGGCTTCATATTGGCTAGAAAGACTTGCTATGGAAGCAGAATGAGTAAACATAGTGTGGTTCTCCAGAGAGATGAGCACATTAAAGGTTACAGGGCTATCTGATGTGCACACCATATGAGTAATTCCATAATTACTTGAACTTAGGATACTACTTTATAATTGCTTTATAACCTGAACAAAATCTTTTGAGATTTGCATGAACCAAAATAAATTCCATATAATCCCCCATGTTTGACACACACAATGGGAATCATAGAAGTCATGGAGCCTGGGGCATCTAAAATTGTCTTTGAGCCATGGGGCAGGGCATGGTGACAATTCTGTTAAAACCTACTCTAGGGTTTTTGAATATTCTGAAATCTTTAAAGACAAGTTGTTGATGCTTCAAATTTTCTATTTAAAATCATTAATATTTTAACACATGTATTTGTAAGCAGGAAAAAGGAGGGAGGAATCAAAGGAGGGATTCATAAAGACAAGAAAATGCCAAACTTTTTAATATGTGAGATATGGGGGGGGGGGGGGGGAGAAAAGAAAGAAAAAAAAAAAAAAAGAAAGAAAGAAAGAAAGAAAGAAAGGAAGGAAGGAAAACAGTGTTTTACAGGGTATTTTTTAATTTGGTTAGTAAACTAGAGAGTATTTGTTTAAATAATTGAAACATTTAAACATTTAAATAATTGAAACATAACTGTGATTCATCTCAACATAAAGTATTTAA